GGTGTGGCGTCAACCAACTTTATACCTCTGGTTCTTGTTGCGTCATAGACAACGGGTCAAGGTTTTTAACTTTGGTTCTTGTTGCGACATAAACAACGGGTCAAGGTCCTATTATAAACCTGATTTAGCTTTCCTGGAGTTCAGAAATCCCTTGTTGTGCTATGGGTCTCATTGTTCTCTTTGGGGTTCTCATCAATTGTTCTCTTTGGGGTTCTCATTATTCGTCATAACCTTGATGTCATGCATTGTGAGAAGAATTTTTTAGATAACATTAAAAATACTGTCATGGATGACAAGGGTTGTATGAAGGATAACACCAATGCTAGATTGGATTTACAACTGTATTGCAATAGATCTGAATTAGAATTGATACCTCAAGACGATGGAACAGCTATAAAACCCAATGCTACATGTGTTCTTACTCGAGAGCAACGAGCTCTTATCTGTCAGTGGCTGAAGGAATTGAGATTCCCAGATGGGTATGCATCCAACATAGCACGATGTGTTAACATGTAGGAACTTCGATTGTTTGGGATGAAAAGCCATGATTGTCATGTATTCATGCAGCGTCTCTTGCCAATTGCTTTCCGTGATTTCCTCATAGATGAAGTTTGGGGTCCCTTAACGGAGATGAGTAACTTTTTTAGAGCTTTAACTGCTCCGATTATTCAAGTCAGTAACATGGAGATGTGGGAGAAAAAAATTGTTGAGACCATTCGCAAGTTAGAGAAAGTATTCCCGCCAGCATTCTTTGACTCGATGGAGCATTTGGCTATCCTCCATCTACCATATGAGGCAAAAGTTGGAGAACCTATCCAATTTCGTTGGATGTATCCTTTTGAAAGGTATATTTCTTCTAATAGATCTTTGTATCACAATAACATTCATGAGCCTATTTAATAATTTAATGTTATTAATTAATTTTCTTATTTGTTTAACAGAAAAATGCATGACCTTAAGAAAACAGTGTTGAACAAAAATCGTGTTGAAGTTTCAATTTGTGAGTCTAATATTCTTTCAGAAATTACCTTCTTTTGCTTGCATTATTTTGGATCTAACATAAAGACAAGATTGAATCGTCAACCAAGAAACATTGTCAACTTGAAGGATGATATGGATAATTGTTTGTCTGTCTTTAAACATCGAGGTCAACCACTAGGTGGAGAAATGCGTGTATACGTGCATTGTCACCCAAAGAAATAAAGGCAGCAGAACTTTATGTTTTGCTTAATTGTGAAGAAGTTAATCCATGGATTGTGTATGTTCTCTAGTTCTAACTTTCATTTGTTTAAGTTACTAGTATGTTTAGATTGTTTACTCCAACTTCTTCATGTAGGCTTTTTGATTATCAAGTATGTTTCGGTCTATCAGAGGATCAAATTCAAATCAAATGGCAACTTGAATTTATTCCTTGGTTTAAGACAATGGTAAGTAATTTATTTTAATAATCTTTGTTAGTAAGATCTCAATTTTTATATATTTTAGGATTAAATTTTAAATATTTTTATAACAAATCTAGGTGCGCAGTGGAAGATATAAGGTTGATTCTCGCTTTGTGCCTTTAGTAACTGGCCCAGTCAATAATGTTAGGATATACAATGGTTATTGGGTTAATGGATTTCGGTTTCATACTATCGCATATGGACAAAATAAAAAGACCATGAATAGCGGTGTTTGTGTGAAGGGAATCACTTTCAATGATGAGTCAGATTATTATGGGAGTTTGAAGGAAATAATTGAGCTTTAGTATTTTGACTCATATGTTCATCAATCAATGATTTTGTTCAAGTGTGAGTGGTATGACATCAACAAAGGCATTGTGGTCCATCCGACATCTGGTATAGTTGACATAAATCCTCGGTTTAAATTACAAACAGATGAAGTTGACATAAATCCTCGGTTTAAATTACAAACAGATGAAGTTGACATAAATCCTCGGTTTAAATTACAAACAGATGAACAATTCATATTGGCCAATCAAGCTCAACAAGTGTTTTATGCCCGTTACCCATCTCAAAATCCTTGTAGAAAAGGATGGTTTGCTGCATGTAAGATTAGAGCAAGAGCAATAATTGACACTTCATCGTTGAGTGATGGTGGAAATGTTTATTATCAAGAGATGATCCTTCTATGCCACAATTGGTGCAACCCTCGACTGTTTTAAATTATCATGTTTCACTAGCATCTCAAAGGGGAGAAGAAGTGGTGATTAGTGAGGTTATGCAATTGCCATATGTGACAGAGGAAGAATGTGTGGGTGAGGATGATGATGAAGAGGAAGAGTTTGATGGAACGGAAACATCAGAAGAAGAAGTTCCAAATTACTTAACCAAGAATGATAGTGATTAAATATATCTTATTTGATTTTTTTAATTAATTGAACAAGGGATGAAGGACTACTTATATTTTCTTTATTATGTGTCTCCATTAATGACTTCTATATTTATTTTTATATCAATATGTCTGCTATAATTCTTTATATTGATATTTATAGTGAAGTTATATTTATATATTATTAAATTTATATTGATATATATATATCTATTTACTTATAAATATATATTTCATGTATTTTTAGTTATTTATATATATTTAGTTGTGTATTGATATTTATATTTTTCATTTTTTTCTCATTTTTTAAATTCTCATTTAATCAAATGTATGATTTTTTTTTTCTTATTGTATTAAACTATTGAACTTATATAATGAGTTTGGTTACTGTTATATCTTTATCTAATCTAAAAGTTATTAATTGAATATTTTTATATTCTGTTTTTTTTTTTAATTTTTGCTTTTCTTCATGAAAAGGAAGTTGATGTGTTTCCATTATTTTTTGTATACAGATATGAGACGAGGTACGCGAGGTGCATCTTCTTCTAGACAACAGGTTGAACCAAAGGGAGAACCACATAGGTCATTTTGTCATCTTATTCAAGGGCCTCGTAGGGCTGTTCCTACACAATAGCAGCTACCTAGCTTGAGCCAACCTCTCGCATAGTAGCAGATTTCCAATTTGACTCAGCTTCCCACACAGCTGCAACAAGAGCAACCCACTGTTTCTCAGCCACCATTGGCCAATGAGCAGTTCACTGGTAATGATGCAACAATGGAGGAGGACACTGAAGAGCGTAATTTGGAGGCTGAGTTAGATGCTGAGTTTGCTGTGCTTGATCCTGAGTTAGATGCTCAGCTGGAGGAGCAGCTATCACGTGCTGTCCCAAAGACAGGACGTGGCATGGATAAAGGAGATGACGCTCTTACAGACCCGAGTCAAAGGAAGGTGCTTAGCCTTAATCGCCGAGGCACATTTAGCCACGAGAGGTTTGGGAGGACTGCCATAGTAATTTGGAAGTACTTGTATGATGAGCCAGTGCTTTTCTGGTCTAGCTGGCCTGAGGAAAAAAAGAGGGTTGCTTGGGAGAATTTTCAGGTATGAAAATTATAGAATAAAATGAAGTATTTTTTGAGAATTTATTTGGCTACTATCACTTTACTCTTATGGCATTTGATATGGAAGTACAAGGTATATTTTATATGAATTTTTATATTTTATTTATTAATAGTGAAAAAAATGACAATTTAAGCAAAACTTTGCTCTTTTTTTAAGAAAAATGAAATAAATTAGGTTAAATACCCTTTTTGGTCCCTCTACTATAGGAAAAAGCCCCTTTTTGGTCCCTGTACCGAAAAAATCCCTTTTTTGGTCCTTACTGTTCACAAATCCGGCCCCTTTTTAGTCCCTCTGTTAAAATTTTGCTGACTTGTCACGTTAATTAACGGAAACATTTATTTATTTTTTTTACGAAATTACGTGGAAAATCCATGTGGCAAAAATTAATGACATGTTAAATTTTTTACTTTTAATTACTGATATACCCTCGTCTTCTTCCTCGGCTTCTCCTTCCTCCAGCCTTTCTTTTTTTTCTTTTACCTCTAGGCGAACCCAAGAGCCTGGGTTCGCGAGGAACCCAGCTCGCTTGGATCGTTGGGGAGGTGGAAGAAATTACATTCTCAGACATTCAATTCCCTTAAATTTTTAAAAAAACTGACAAACAATACAGCTTTAGCTTGCCTAAATTCTTCCCCTGCAGTTCAATCAATCCTCACATTCTTCAGAGTTCAATCTATACATACCATGAAACTCAACATTAAAACAAAAATCAATTTCCAAATTTTTTCATGCAACACTAGAAACACCATCAATCCCCAAAATTGAAGAGCAAAATCAAATAAGAACGCGAGAAACATACTCAGCGAGATCGCCTAATTGGCGCAAGATTCCAACGAGTCCAGCAACATCGACGCCATCAAGGAGAGCTTTGGGATCGTCCCTGTCAGCTTGCTTGTACAGCTCCGGCTGCCCCAACCGGAGATTGCCGTGGTCCTCCCCGTCCTCCCCGTTTTGATCCAAGCCAGCTGGGTTCCGCGCAGACCCAATGTTAGGTTTCGAGAGGAACCCAGGTCTGGGTTCCTCTCGAAACCCAGCTTTGGGTTTGTGAGAAACCCAGTGCTGGGTTTCATGAGGTTCCTCTCGAAACCCAGCTCTGGGTTTGTGAGAAACCCAGTTCTGGGTTCCTCGCTAACCCAGTGCTGGGTTTCATGAGGAACCCAGATCTGGGTTCCTTGTGAACCCCGCACTGGCTCTGGGTTCCTCATGAAACCCCGCACAACCCAAGATGATGAAGATGATTCTGAAGAAGAAGAGGAAGAAGAAGATGAAAAAATTAAAATTAATTATGTTTAATTCATAAATTAATAAAGTAAAATTTTTAATTAGAATAAGTGACACATAATATTTAGATAAAGTGTTTACGTGTACACGTGTATTTATAATTTTGTCCATGTCATTTATAATTGTACATGTAATTTCCATGTCATTTATAATATTGTTTATATAAAAAATAATGAACTAATTCCGTTAATTAACGTGACAAGTCAGCAAAATTTTAACGGAGGGACTAAAAAGGGGCCGGATTTGTGAACAGTAAGGACCAAAAAAGGGATTTTTTCGGTATAGGGACCAAAAAGGGGCTTTTTCCTATAGTAGAGGGACCAAAAAGGGTATTTAACCAATAAATTATTAACATTTAATTATTTTTTTTCATTGTAGAGGACATATTATTGGGAAGAGGATGATGCTCGTGTGTATAAAATTTGGAGATTACATTATCTGAACCGTTTCCGAGACGAGCTTCATCGAGCTCGAAAGGCATGGGTTAGGGACAAGAAGTTGCCCAAGTTCATGCATAAGGATACCTTTAAACTTTTGTTGGCAAAATGGAGGAGTCCAAAATATATTGCACTCCAGGAAAGAGGTCGGCAAAACCAAGCAAAGGGTGACTGTGTGACCCACACAACTGGATGCCTTTCTATTGGCATCCATGAGGATCAACTGGTTAGTAGGATATACTTATATATATACATATATAAATTATTTTTGTTTACCATAAAAATGGAAATGTTATTGATTTTATTGATGTTTTAATAGGCAGCTAAAAGAGGAGGAGTTAGGTCGACACCTTTAGAGTCGTACTTGTTGACTCACACGACTCGCTGACCTGATGTTCTAGAAGATGCCCCACCCACTTGGATATGTCCACAGGTTGAGCAGACATATGTAAGAATCTGATTCTTTTATGATATTAATTTTATTTATTTTTAATGTCATATTGCCATAAAAGAATAAAAGTGATACAATTTTTTATCCATTGTATTTAGTAAGTGATTATTTTTCATTTGATTTCCCATTATCATTTGAAATTGCTAACTAATGAAAATTTTATTTTTGAGACAAAACAATGCTCACCAAAAATATGTGGAGAAGCATGGGCCAAACAAGGATTCATGGCCAGAATGGGATCCACTTATCTGGAAGGAGGTGGTTGGACCTCCTAAAAAGGGTCAGATGAAAGGGATGACTACATTATAGGATCTAGCAGAGCATGGCATCCCTTGGCGATGGTATGACATGAGTGACGCCTCCTCTTCTACCACCAAGATTCTTACGACACAAGTTCAGCAGTTGCAGTCTGAGCTTACTCAAGTTCGGGAAGAAATGGCTGAGCGAGTTCAGACGGAGGTGGCCACACGTGTTCATACAGAGGTATCACAAAGAGTATCAGAGATGGAGGCCACCTTTAAGAGGAGATTCCAAGAGCACATGTGCTTACTTAGCCAGCAATATTCTATGAATGCTACATAACCCCAGACTAGTTATCCTTCTTCTGTACCACCCCAGACTGCTGATCTTTCTTTTGAAGGATTTAGACATGATCACTTACCACCTCATAGTTAGAGACATTGATATTTGAAACTTATATTATATAATTTTATATATATGTACTGCATATGTATATATATGGTATGTAGGATGA